GATGGTGGCCCACACCTATAATCCTAGTAATTTGGAAGGCTGGGGAAGGAGGATCTCAAGTTCCAGGCCAGCCTGGGAAACTAAGTGAGACCCTGTCTCAAAATTTAAAAAAAGACTGGGTACAGTAGTGTATGCTTGTAATCCCAGTAACTCAGGAGTCTGAGGTAGAAGGATCACAAGTTTAAGACCAGCCTCAGCAATTTAGGGAGACCCTTCTCAAAATATAAAAAAATAAAAGGAGCTAGGAATGTATCTCAGTGGCAAAATGCCCCTGGGTTCAATCCCCAGTTATGAAGGAAAAAAAGAAGTAGGTAGCAGAATGTTAAGAACTACAGATGTAGCTGTGTACAGTGGCACATGCCTGTAATCCCAGCAGTTTGGGAGGCTGAGGCAGGAGGTTCATGAGCTCAAAGCCAGGCTCAGCAAAAGTGAAGTGCTAAGCAACTCAGTGAGACCCTGTCTGTAAATAAAATACAACATAGATCTGGGGATGTGGCTCAGTAATCAAGTACCCCTTATTTCAATCCCTGATAATCTTCCACCCCCCTCAAAAAAAAAGGTACGTTAAAAAGTGATGAGAGCCGGGCTAGACATGATGGCACATGCAGCTCAGGAGGCTGAGGCAGGAGGATCCCAAGTTCAATTAGCAACTGAGCAAGACCCTGTTTCAAAATGGAAAATAAAGTGGTCTGGGGATGTGGTTCAGTGGTTGAGCGCTATTGGGTTCAATTCCTGGTACAAAAAAAAAAAAAGAAAGAAAAGAAAAGAAAGTGATGGAGCTAGGGCAAGCCTGATGCCTGTAATCCCAGCAAATCAGGAGGCCGAGGCAAGAGGATGGCAAGAGGAGGCCAGCCTGGCCAATTTAACAGAGACCCTATTTCAAAACAAAAATTAAAAGGGGCTGGGGATGTAGCCCGACAGTAAGAGCTCTTCTGGGTTCAATCCACAGTACGGTGTGTATGGGGACTGGAGGGGTGGGGGAGGTTTGAAAGTGGGACCTGGAAGGGAAGGAGGCCAAGCAAATGAGTAAAACCATTGGAAGTCTCAGGGAGGGCAACTTTGGTACAGGGGATTGAAGTATTGATGCCTTTATATTGTCAGTTATTCATATTGTCCCCAGGAGTGGGAGTGGGTGTGGTTGTGTGGGAGGATGTGGAGGGAAAACTTCCAGCAGGAGGCACCAGGCAAAGTTCCCTGCAACCCAGCCAGAGGCATGGGTAGGGCTACTGGGAATGATACAGCACACTGGGAATCAGTCACTAGGCACTGAAATGGTGGAGTCTACAAGAGAAGAAATGTACCAACACAACTGTCTCTGCTCCCAAGAGGCTCATGGCCTGAGAGGGGAAGACACGGTGAATAAAATCATTGCCTGTGTGTGTGTGGACCCTGGTGCAGTAAAGCCTTCCCAGAGGGGGAACAACTGGTTGGGGAAAGGGCTGGGGGAGGAAGTCCTGCTCTTCCAAATAGAGGGAAGGCACTTGCACAGGCAGAGGCCTGCAATTGCCTGGCCACCCAGGCTCCTGGGTTCTTCTGCCGCTTGCTTAGCCTGCTATCCCAGAGCTGCCCTGTGAGCACCAGCTGGCAGCTTCCTCCTGCCACAGCCTGCCTTTCCTCCAGGTCCTGCAGGGGAAGTACTTATAGGAGCCTCCTCTGACTATTCCTACCACGGTGGTGACTCTAAACTCATAGTGTTTACTGCCAAAGCCACTACTTTGGTTCTTGAATAAGAACCAAAGTACTTAGTTATAACTTAGTTATAACTCAGCGGTAGAGTGTTCACCTAGCACGCGGGAGGTGATGGGTTAGCTCCTCAGCATCACACACACACACACAAAAATAAATAAACAAATAAATTTAATTTATTTTATTTAATAATTTAAATTTATTTAATTTAATTTAATAAAGGTGTTGTGTCCAACTACAACTAAAAAAAATTAAAATAAATAAATGAATCCTGTCTCTCTTGGTTTCATTTTAAACTTCCTTGAGAAGAAAGTACAAATTTTTATTGTTTATATTCTTATAATCTCCCATGGCTCCAGGAGTTGGAGGACATATTAAGGGTGTAAGATAATAAGTGAATGGGTAAATTTGATCTATTTGGGGGACTATTGAATCCTACTAGGGTCTGGGGCAGGTGGCACACTCCTGTACTCCTAGAGACTGGGAAGGCTGAGGCAAGAGAATCTCAAGTTAGAGGCCAGCCTGTTAGTGAGATTTGTCTCAAAGTAAAAAACAGAAAGGACTAGGGATGTAGTTGGGTGGTAGAAAATCTCTGGGTTCAGTCCAGAGTAATCATCCCCCACCCGATGTCAAAAAAAAAAAAAAAAATCCTCCCAGGCTTACCCTTATAATTATTTTATGTTATAAAATTATTACTAAACCCTAAGCTTATTTTTTATTTTTTTATTTGGGTCATCTGTAGGTTTCAATGGGAGTTACCACATAAGCAAACGGGATACTAAGGGGTAAGTTTAAGGTCATGTACCTCAATTTCTTTTAACCCCTCCTCAACCCTCACCCTGGTCAGCCACTTGATTAACACTAGAGTTAAGAATTTGGGATCTCTGAACCCCTGCCTTTTAAAGTAACTGTTTCATAAAAGAATTTTGAAGAACTATGTACTCCTTACACATTTTTAAGACAACATCTAACAGTTTAAATATGAAGCTAAATTTCAAAGGATATACTACTTTCCAGGGATTTGAAAGTACTTACCTGTGAAAAATCACTTCACTCTTTTAAATGTAGCAGATGGAATATAATACCATAGACTTTCATATCTATTTAAGAAATATATGAACAAGCCCTTGTAGTGGCACCCCCTTTCTCTACAAAAAAAATCTTAACTGGGCTTCTCCACAAATCTTTACCATGGTTGATTTTAGGAGTGTCAGCAAAAGAGTCTCTACAAAAATGTTCAATGTAGTTAAACTTCCTATTTTCCTGTTGCTCTATTTCACTTGGCCATTGGCCAGGAAGAAATCAGCACTTCAGGTGCTGAATGCCCCTTTACTTGTTTTTCACAAACTTGTATCCAGTATAGTAGTTTGTAGAAGTGTGTTTGCAAATTAAAGATGTAATTTAAAAAAAGGACAAATCCTATAACAAGGCCTCTGGCCTTGAGCTGGAGCTTCACAGAGATGTCTACATTTCTATGATAAGACAAGTTACCAATTGGGCTCCGTGGTAACAGCTAACAGGGGAAGGAAAGAAAGGGGAGAAGAAACTCTCCCCTTCTTAGGTGTTGTCCTTGAAGGGTTAACTTGCCCAGAACAGTGAAAGAAAGAGCTGCTTTTATGTGAACTTCCACAGATTGTGAACTTCTGAACCCCTCCCTTTACATGCTGGGTATAAAATTCTGAAACTACCTGAACTCGGGGTTCAGGGAATTGATTAATTATAGTAAAAGCTGTGCCCTCTGAACCTGGCTGCAGCCAAATAAAACTGTTTCCTGCTGTCTTTGGTGCCTTGCCTCGTCTGTCCCTACAATACTCTTTAACCAAATAGAAATTTGCCTTGTTCCGTTTTTCTCTTTAGTTCCTTTTCCAGTCTCCTTTTCCTATAGAATCTCCCCTAATAAAATTTATTTTTTATTGTAGATCTCTTTTATATTTTGTTGTATACCTTTTTTACTAAGTCTTTTATTATATATCTCTGACAAAATGTGCATATAAATTGAAATTTATTTCTTACAATCATAAGACTCTGTTAAATGGTTCTTCTTCACTGGGTTATTGTAAGACAATTGGTCAAAATAACAAACATAGCAATATTTAGACATTAAAAAGTAAACTTTTATTGAAAATGCTTCTCTTAATGAGATGAAAAGGGCTGATTTACATTTCCCATTGGCTTCTTTTTTTCTTTTTTTGGTGATGCTGGGGATTGAACCCAGGACCTTATACATGTGAGGCAAGCACTCTACCAACTGAGCTATATCCCCAGCCCCCCATAGACCCTAATTTGGCAGCTCCAGGAAGAGTACCCTGTTAGGCTCAGGGTGAGCAAGCGACTTACTTATATACATCTGGAAACTGATTCCCTAAAAACTGCCCATATGCACTGGATGTGGTGGTGCACACTGTAATCCCAGTGGCTCGGGAGGTTGAGGCAGGAGGATGGCAAGTTCAAAGCCAGCCTCAACAAAAGCGAGGTGCTAAGCAACTCAGTGAGACCCTGTCTCTAAATAAAATACAAAATAGGGCTGGGGATGAGGCTCAGTGGTTGAGTGCCCCTGAGTTCAATCCCTGTACCCAAAGCAACAACAAAAATACTGCCCACACACCCCTGGGAAAGTTTGCATGTACTGCCAGAGGCATGCAAACTATGAGTCATTAAAGAAAGACCTAACTTCCTTTCTCACTCTTCAATACAGGGGTCCCATAAATAAAGGAACTTGGGTCTGAACACCATTGTGATTCTGCTAGATGCATTTTCAAGGCAGAGTCCTACACCTTTTTGCATGACATGTAGGAAAGATAGGAAACTCAGATTACTTCCAGACCTCTGCAAATTGAGGGCTGTGAGAAGGGCATCTGAATATTCAAAAACATAATCAATGGTAAAGAAGTGGCCTAGATTCAGAAATAAGAAAACATGGTTTTTATTTTTCTATTTCAGGGAAGCGCCATCCTTGTCTACTGATGGGTCCCAGTCATATACCACCAGGTAGCAGCAGAGAGCACAGTCTGCTGACCTGGCCCAAGAAATCCCAGGTCCCAGGGATGAGGAAGAGAAGGTGGAAGGTAGGGGCAGCGAGAGAACTAGGTGAGGTAGGAGTGTGTGCTTATGCTGTCAAAGAAAAAGAGGGAAAATATGGGGACTAAATAGGGATACCAAGAGGTGACAAAACATCGATGATTCCTTCTGAAATCAGAATAAGTTGAGGAAATGAGGAGTTAGACAAAATTGGGGAAATTTTAAGGGGAAACAAAAGGGTAGAGATGGGCTTGGGAGTACTCTGCCTGGAGGCCCAAGTCACCTGGGGATCCCTGTTATCTGTACTCTTCCCGGGGAGGGTCAAGGTCTGGCTCATCCCGAGGGCCATGGTCTACCTCAGGGGCAGGTGGCCATGGGTTTTCTGGGGGCTGGGGTCCTGCTGGCCAGGGGTCATCAGGCCGGGGAGGTTGAGGAGGATCAGTGCTGGGTGGCTCAGGGGGCCAGACACTAGTTTCAGGCAGGTCTCTCCAGGGACGGGTAGGGCTTGGAGGTGTAGGGTCCTCAAAGAGAGGGGGTGCCCCTGGCCAGGGGTCACCAGGTATCGGAGGGCCCCGAGGCAATGGTGGGGAGCTCTCCTCCTCTCTGCCCTCTGTGGGTGGGGTAGAAGGTTGGTCCTTGCTGCCTGAGATTCCTGTAGAAGAGGAAGGAGAAAGGTAAGGGGTGAAGAGGAGCAGTTACCCCCCAACCACAGCTACAGACCAGGAGACAGAACCTCTTTGGGATGGACAGTCTGAGCTGTCCAGCTAAACCTCAAAGTAATTTTCAAAGCACTCTCCATACATTTATCACAGTCTTAAAATGACATGAAAATTTATTTTGAGCCATTAATTTGCCCAATGTTAAGGGCCTGACACCTCCCCCAAATAATCTTCATTCTATGCCCACACCTAGCTAGCATGGGCCCCACTGTATCCCAAAGTGGTCTACACTTTGGCCACATGTGGCATCCACATCCCACCTCCACAATGATCCCACCATTCCTAACACATTCCTTCCTCAGCCAACATATCTGAACTCTGAAACAGCCACATGGTCCCACCCGAAAGAGCAAAACATTGATTCTGAACCAAAATGCTCTGAACTATACCCTTCATATAAATTTTCAGAATCCCTTCCACCTTTGTGTGCCTGATTCACCCCTTTCCTTTTTAGTGGTTATGTTCACTAAGGGTTGGTCATCTTGGCCATCCCCATTACCCCTGATATTCCTGGCCTGCTCCCAGCTCACCTCCAGTAAACAGGCAAAGGACCAGGATCCCCAGTAGCTTCCAGTTGATCATCATGGCTGTCTACTGGCCCCCAAAAGTGGGGTGCTCTGAGTCTGGGTGTCTGGGAATCCCAAGAGGCTTTATAGGGGAAGATGGAGAGGAGGAGGCCAGTCTATAGGGAGGGGCCGGCCCAGTGACACAAGGAATCCCATCAGAATCAAAACTGGTCAAACCCGTTGGGAAGGCCCTGGCTAACATGAAGCCTGACTATGGCGTCTCTCATTTTAGTCCCCTAGCCCAAGACCTAATCACTGGCTCTCACTATCATTGACCCAGATGATCACCCCACCCTTGTTTTTACACCTGCTCCATCCACACTCTGCAGAAATCTATACCCACCTGTCATCTTCATAATCATAGGGACCTCCACCCTTTCATCCCTGGTAGCTATCAGAAGCCAAAGAATGGGAGCAAGCTCTGCTTGGGGAAGCACCATAATTATAAGGCTGTGAAGCAGGACGCTTGAGCTGACGTGGGGGGAGCCTTTGAAACCTGGGATGCAGCTGATGCAGTGTCCACTAACATGCCTGCCTCAGCCCCCTTACCCTTCATTTTAAGGGCTTCCTTCCTCAGGACCAGGCATGCTGCTTTCTGGCATGTGCCTGCTTAAATGGGACCTCCCAGTGACAGCCAAAGAATTCCATGTGGGAGACATCTGGGGTGACAATGAAGAGGAAAGACACACGAGGATATCCTGCTTCCCTTTCCCCACCCAGAACTGGTGGCATTAGTCTCCAGCCAGAGGTTCAGGAAGAAGCTGCCCCTCCTGTAATCCTGGCCTCTTCCTCCTTCCTCAGGAACTCTTTGCTCCAGCTTTTTCTGTCCCCATTTTCAGGTCTCAGTTCAAAAATGCATCTTCTTACAACATGCTAATTGAGCTGGGCATGGGGGCACATGCCTGTACTTCCAACTACTCTAAAGTCTGAGGTAGGAGAATTACAAGTTGAGGGTAACTTCAACAACTTAGAGAAACCCTGTCTCAAAAATATAAAAAGGGCTGGGGGAGCTGAGGGTATAGCTCAGTGGCAGAGCACTTGCCTAGCATGTGGGAGGCACTAGGTTCAATCCTTAGCACCACATTAAAATAAACAAAGGCATTCTGTCCAATTACAATTTTTTTTTTTTTTAAATAACTAAAATAAAAAGGACTGGGGATGTGGCTCAGTATTAGAGTTCTCTCTGGGGATTCAATCCCCAGTACTACAAAAAAAAAAAAAAAAAGTAAATTGAAACTGAAGCCTCTAGAGCTTTCTATTGACTTTGAATAAATTTTAAATTACTTGCCAATATTGGCCTCTTCCCCAACATCCTCTGTCTGGGTCCCCTTAATCTCTCCTGGCCTCAGCACAAAGTTCCTTGCCTTTCCTGGCCCTCACCTAAAGCTGCCCCTCCCAGAGTCCCCTTCTATCATATATCTGTATCTTACTTTCTCTTCCTAGCTCTCCTTTGAAGCACTCATTTATTCTGAGGTCCTTGTCTATTTGTCTCTCCCATTAGAACATAGGCACCTGGGTGCAAAGGCCTTGCCTGGATCTAAGATTCTTGTTGAATGAATGAATGTTTATCTTTCTCTCTCCTGGCATTTATCACATTCCAGAGGAAAAGAGTTTTAAAATAAAAAGTGAGAATAAAAGAAAACAGGAGCTTCTCAAAAGCTTCTAAAACAGGATAGAAAAGATGTTTGGAAAGAGGTACCACTTTTCACAGCCTCAGGAAGAATTCCCCAAGATAACACTTCCAGACAGTAGTTCAAGTGGAGTCATCTTTATTTAGTGCAGGAGAATTTAGACTTAGAGGAAGTTGGTGTCTGTGAGGCTGGAAGGGGAAGTAGACTGGGCTGGCCCCCACCCATTCTCCAGGATCTTTCTGGGGATTCAGCCCTTGGGCAGGCTTCACCTCCAGCTCTCAGCTGTAGCTGCTCAGATGTGGACTGGAGCAGAATTCTGGTTGTCTCCTTGACAAATAACTTCCTCCTTGGAAATGGCCTCACTCAGGCCCTGTAGACTATCAAGCAGGACAGAGAGGGACTCTGGGAAAAAAAGACACCCAAGTATAGACGCTGGTACTGGATATGATGGTATGAGGGACAAGTTTCTTGGGTCAAAGGTGGGTGTGGATGGAAGAGGCCAAGGCATACACACACAAAAGGGTCTGGAGTAGATGCCAGGAGTGCCCCCATTTGTCGCTTTATGATTAGTCCATTACCTTTTGTGGGCCCCCTGGAAGACAGAGCTGCTGCCGGTGGTATTGAGGATCCGGGAGGCCTGGGGCTGGACTCCACAGATTTCTCCTTATCCAGTATAGAGGGAAGAACTGCCAACAGTCGCTGCTGCTTGTAATGGGAGAGGAGACCCGCCTGCTGCAAGGTGGCCTGGGAAGGAGAGGGTTAAACGCCACCTAGCCCGGGGAAAGCCTTCCCTCCTTTTTCCACTCCTTTACCTATCAACCAGTAAACCATGGGCCCTGGTCTCTTCAGTCTCCTACCAGCATGATGTTCTTGTCCCTCTCCAGGTCTTGCACTCGCTGGGTCAGCCGCTGCCCCTCCTCCTTCTGGGCCTCATCCTGCAGACGCCTGAGCTCCTGGTTCCGCTCCTTTTCTCTAGTGGCTTTACGTTGGATCTGGCGCAGAGACACCTCTGTGGAGAAGCCAGGGTGGAGAGGGAGGGTGTGGGTTATCCTAGAGGTGGCCAGGCACCATGAAAACAAAACTGGAATGCCAGGGCAGGTGCCCATATGGGAAGTTACTCTACTCTGTGGATCCCAGTGTCTCTTCCATTCAGCTGGAGAGGTGGGATGATGCTCCAGGTTCCTGTGTATCTGTGAACCCAAGTACCTCTCCCATCCCCCAATCCACCCAGGAGTTCCTTAGGGGAGAACTGAACATGGGCTAGATATTAGATTTTGTGCAATTAGTACTCATATTCTTATAGTATGATCATAGTATTGCAGTTACACAGAATTTCCTATTTGTGGGTGATTTGGCTGAACAATCATGTTTGCAATCTACTTTAAATAATTAAAAAATGTATATATAAATATGTGCATGTATACACAAGAGCAAATGTGGCAAATGTTAACTGCCATCTCTAGTTAGAGAAGATACATTCAATAAAGTTCTTTTTTTGGGGGGGTGGATACTAAGGATTGAACTTACACTCTACCACTGAACTACATCTCCGGTTTTGGGCGTGCGTGTGTGGTGTTTGGTACAGGAGGCTGAACCCAAAGGCCCTCTACCGCTGAGCCACCACCCTAGCCCTTATTTTATTTTGAGAAAAGGTTTTAGTAAACTGCTGAGGCTGGCCTGGAATTTGCAATCCTCCTGCCTCAGCCTCTCAAGTCACTGGAATTACAGATGTGTACCCCCATGCCAGGTACCCAAGTACTTTTTAATTTTGAGACAGGGTCTCCTGAGTTGCTGGGATTAGAGGATACACCACTGCACTCAGTGTGTGCTGTTTCTTGACATGACACTAAACTTCATAGTATGTCCACAGGTAATGTGCCATTCCTATCCCTTCATTTGTGGCATGCCTCAACAACAAGTTTTAGTGGGGAATAATAACTTTCTGTCTCAACAATTCCTTCTTTCTAGAAGGCCTACATCTATCCTGGCACATCTCACCAGCCTTGGCCTGCTCCTTCCGAGCCTCGTTCAGTCTCCTCTCTGTGTCTGAGAGCTGTTCCCGAAGTCGAGTCTCCACCTCAGCCACCTTCTCTTGCAAAGCTGGGATGAAGGTGCAATGAGTGTCAGAAGGAACCACCCCAGACCACAAAGGGGTGCACACTTCCCCTCCCCCACACCTTGCCCATAGATCTTCTGCTGCTGAGTCAGCTCCTTTCGGAGACTGGCAGCCTCTTCAGTGCTCTCCTGCTGGCCCTGGCGAGCTGCTTCCAACTGTAGTCCTAGGCTGGCCAGAGACTCCTGGGTTTGCTGTAGTTCCTGCTCCAGCTGCTGGGCCACCTTGCTCAGCTGCTGCCGCTCTGCTTCCCCTTAGAAGAATATGCTCACTCAGACCTCTTCTTGTGCATGTGCTCTAGATGTCAAGTCTTCCCTCTTCTTCATCAACGTCCCCCATCTATTTATCCATCCATCTACATGTACCTTGCTCCCGGGCCCGGCCCACTTCCTGCTGGATGACATGGGCACTCAGCTGCAGTTCTGAATCCAGGCGATTCCGTTCTTCCCGCAGCTGCTCCAACTCAAGGTTTAAATCTATGTCAGGTGGGGGTGGAGGTGGGGGAGGGGGTGGAGGTGGAGGGCAGCTAAGACCGAAGAGAAACAAAGTCAGCTGTTGGCTAAGAAATTTAGAGCCCCTATCCCTCCTCAGTCCTCATTGTTTGGGATTCCAGCAGCCAACACCCTAAAGCTTCACCTCCGCATAACACCCCCTCCACCTTAAAGTGCCCAGACTTTACCTCTCCAGGCGCAGCTGGGCCAGAATCAGTTTTCGAGCCATCAGGCCTGGGAAGAGGCAAAAAGAGATGAGTACACAGAGGAAAAAAGGACAGACAGGGGAGTAAGGGAGAAAGAAATGCTGGGGCTGGCAAGAAGGAACCAGGAGGATGGATGTGGGATCAGAAAGAGCTGGGCCAGGAAGATGATGGACAAAGTAAGCAGGACGCACTCACAGTTTCTCTACCCACCCTGAATGGTGTGGACCTTGCGGACAGCATAGCTAAGTCGGTTGCTGAGGCTGGGAAGCCGGGCTATAGCCTGTTCCACCTTAGTCAGAGTGTTCTGGAAGCAGATCTGAGAGCTGGAGAAGGTACAGGTCACTAACCCTCCACCCTCACCTCAACCCCCAAAGACCTGCAGGGTCTTGTACAGACAACACTGTTATACAAGTGAGAAAAGCAGAGAAGGGGAATATGAGAGAGGAAAAGAGAAGCTGAAGCCACTGGGAAGGGTAAGACCTTAGTGCCCAGCCACTGTGCCCCATAATGGAACCACCGCGTAAATCATATCTAAATTCCTTAGCCAACAGAAGCAGAGAAACTGAATGCTTAAGGCCTTTAGTAACTGTCAGATAAAATAATCCAACTGCTAATAAAACATAAATATTCACCAAGTCATTCCTGGTAGCAAATGCTACCAATAAGCTACTTCTACAGCACTTTTTTTTTTTTTTTTTTTGGTACTGGAGACGGGACCCAGGAGTGCTTTACCACTGAGCTACCTCCCAGACCTTTTTCTTTTTTTATTTTCAGACAAAGTCTTGCTAAATTGCTTAGGACCTCATAAATTGCTGAGGCTAGAGTTGAACCTGTGATTCTTCTGCCTCAGCTCCTGAGTTGCTGGGATTTCAGGAAGGTGCCACTGCATTCAACTCCTCAGTACTTTTAAATTTTTATTATTTATTTACTTATTATTATTTTAAGTTATAGACGGACACAATACTTTTATTTATTTTTATGTGATGCCAGGGATTGAACCCAGTGCCTCATGCAGGCTAAGGCAAATGTTCTACCGCTGAGCCTGGCCCAACTTTTTTAAAATTTTATTTTGAGACAGAGCTAAGTTACCTAGACTGCCCTCAAACTTGTGATCTTCCTGCCTCAACCTCCCAATTGTTGGGATTATAGGTGTGTGCTTCTGTGCCTATCCTGATCAGTGTTTTTAATTACACCCCTGTAAAAAAATAAAAATGACAACATTCATGAGGTCCTATCTCATCTTGACCTATAGCCCGTAACTCAGGAAAGTGTTCAGTAACCATTCTATAGGGGACAGCACAGCTGGTACCATGAGGCTGGATGATCTCCAGTTGAACTAGACTTTATTACCCACAGCCATTGCTCCAGAAATTTCATTGTTTGGTACTGTATGCATCACACTCACAGTATATGAACTTGAGTGCATTTTTCTAAGGACAAGGCTCATAGTTTCCATCAGTTTTCTAATGGGCCAGTTCTCTTGGCCATAGCCCAAGAAGACATCAAATGACCATATAGATTTTTCAAGTAACTACAAAGTTTATTTCTCAGAACCTATTTTTTGATTACTATTATGCAACAGAGACCAGTTACCCTCAGGCACAAGCCCAAGAATGGAGATTCCCTGATACCAATGAAGGGCAAGTCCACATGCTTTATCAGGGGGCTAAACCAGAGCCACGACCAACATGGCTCAGGAAAACTGAGAAGTGAAAAGAGCCCCCAAAGAGGGACCAACACTGGAACCTTCTTAGGAGAGTATGAGTTCCCCCTAGCAGAAAAACTAATGATGACTTGACAAAGCTGGCAGCAGAGCAAAGACTACTCTCATCTGAAAACTATTTGAGAAGGTGGTTCCAAGACCTACAGTGGCTCTTATTAAAACCATTTTCTGGTAGTTTCCGGTCATCTAAAGAGTTGCTAACAAATCTGGCAACAACCCACCTGGACTGCTTTAAGCCTGGAGGGCTCTTCAGTAATAAATCATTAACAAAAATCATTTTTGTGATCTTATGAGACCAAAATAAAAATCTGTCCTTGACATATCTCTCTTCTCCTATAAGTGGAAGATTGTTGCAATGGACTGCATCTGGACAGTGGCTCCTCAGAACTAGTCTATTTCTGTGCAAGTTTAAAACTCTGCATCTTTTTTTAGTGGGAGATGGGGATTGAACCCAGGGTCTCACACATGGTAGGCAAGCATTCTACCACTGAGCCACACTTTGTATAGACTACCTACTTCAGTTATTGCACAGATGAGAACTAGGGAGAGGCTGTTACCATTGCAAAGCAATTCCTTAGAGGTCTCATTAAAGATTATGTAACAATTATCAGGGATTAAAAAACCAAGAATTTGGTAAGAAACATAAGCCTGCAATTTATTTAGGACCCTGATATACATTTTAGATGGACATCCAGTAAGCAAGTAGGAGACAGATTTAAACAAAATATTTTCTAACCAGCTAATAAGCACAATGGCACATGCCTGTAATCCCAGGGACTTGGGAGGATTATAAAAAACAAGGCCAGCCTGGGAAACTTAGTGAAACCTTATCTCAAAATTTAAAAAAAAAAAAAAAAAAAGTGATGGGGATATAGCTCAGTGATAGAATGCCTCTGAGTTCAATTTCTAATACTGCAAGTTAACATACTAATAAAAATTATTTCAACCAAACAGGGCTTGCCAGGCATATGTGAGGCCCTGGGTTTGATCCCCAGTACTGCAAAAGAAAAAAAAAGGAAAAAGTAGATCATATATTTCCATACCCATCCCTGAACAATTATAAAGGTGGAGATCCTCCCAGCTGCTCGAGCAGGTACTACACTAAACTAAATCATTAGGCAGCAGTGCCTCACCTCCCACCCAACATAAAGTGGAAGTTCACAACAGAGCCTGTAGTACCTGCCAAATGCTGAGATGTGGCAACACCCCAAGAGAAATCAACACAGAAGATTTCAGAGGAATAAAGGCCTTCAGCCCTGTATCTTCCAGCTGCCAGATTTTTAGACTCTCTCACATGATGCTTTTCAATTCCAAAGGTGCCCCCAAAGCTGGGGAAGCAGCTGGAGAAGCAGAAATACTCCTCCACCTGCCCCTCCATCCCAGATACCTGCCGACAGCACCAGCCACAAGCTTCAACTGCTCCTCAGCCGAGGCTGCCTGCTGTTGACACCGCCGCCTGGCCTCCTGAGCACGGCTCAGCTCCAGCTGCAGGGCCTAGAGAGGATGAAGTAAAGGAAAGGGTCCCTTCCTGGGGCCCAGCCCACAGACTGAAGCCCTCCCTTTGTCTCTGCCTGTCTCACACACTAACCTTGGCACCCGTCCGCTCCACCTCCACCTCTGCTGTTTTGTCCTGCAGGGCGCGCTGCAGGATGGCCTGCTCCTGGCTCTGGGCTGTCACTTTTTCCTGGAGCTCAGCCATCTGGGGGAGAAGAGGGCAGGGCAGTCTAGAGCCAAAGCTGTGGGGGCCACTGGAGACAAAGGGATAGGGGGCAGAAGTCTTTGAAGGAATGCCATATAGAGAAACAAGTGGCTAGGGTTTTCCTGAGAATAGAGTCTGAGTCCAGTAGACCTTCCAGAAGCATGTTTCATGTACTCTCGTTCTTTGAAGAATACCCCCTGATCCATCTACAAACACCCACCATCTCTGACCATGAGACCAACTCAAAGATGCTGTCATCTTGTCAGAGAAGCCACCCCTGACCAAACTACCTAAAGCAGACCCACTATGGTTTCTTTGTTACATCATCTTTAAAATGTTTCTTTTCAGCACATATACTTGCTTGATGTTACCTGGCTGTTTACTTGTTGAATCTCAATTCTAGAACATAAACTCTTTGAGATCAGAGTTGTCTTGTCTGCTTTGTTCAGGTTGCATGTGGTAACCACTCAATAAATATCTGTTGAATAATTGCCATCCCTGTGCAAGGAGCTGGGAGGAATGCAGTGAGAAACAGCCACTGACCTGTCCCTTCAGCTGCTTCACACAGTCTCTGTGCTCCAGCTCCTGGGCTTTAAGCTGCACCATGAGTGCAAACACCTTCTCCCGCCAACGGTTTAGTAGAGACTGGCACTTCTTAGTGAACTCAGGTTCCAGTAAATCTGAAGGTTGAACCTGAAGATGGGGAACAAGTGTGGGCTCCTGGAGCAACAGAGGAAGGAGGTACCATCTTTGGCTTTTCTCTGTTCTGCCTAAGCAACAGAGGCCATGGGCTGCCCAGGAGGGCCCTACCTTCCTGAGCAGCTCCTCCTCCTGCAGGGTGAGCATGTGCATGAGGCTCTGCACACGCACCTGCATCAGTTCCACGGTTGCATGCAGGCCATCTCGGTCCTCCTCCAAGTTCTGTGAGGGAGGAAGAGTAGAGTGTCTTAGGGCTCCATGCCTGCTCCAAGGCACCAGCCAGTTTGGGCCCAGCAACATCACTGCCTACCCTTTTAGGTACTATACTCTCCTCCAAGGGTGACCACATCCCCTACCCTGATTCCTGGTGTCTCCCTCCAGACCCACACCCTGTATTCTCCCACCTGCACAGTGTCCAGAAGCTCCTGTCGCTCTGTTTCCCATGCCTGGCTAGGGGTCTCGAAAGGGCCTTGTTCCCCTACATATTTCCTCAGATTCTCAACCAGGGTCACTTGAGCTGTCAAATCTTCTTGTGTCTTGCTAGGATTAGCAAGGGTAGAAACAAGGCAGTCATTAAGGGAGCACTGTGAAGAATCCCACATCACCAACCTCTGGGCCCCCTCAACTGTCCCTGTCAATTTACCTGAGCTCCTTCCGCAGCAGCTCAGCCTCCTTCTGGGCCACAGTCAGCTCCTTAACTTCCATTGCCCTCCTGGTTTCCAGACTATTCAGAGACTTCTCCAAGCCCTCAGCCTTGTTGGTCAAACTAAAAAGAGCCTCCTGGTGAGCCTGTGTCAAGGAGGATAGCTGTGGAGAGAAGAGTGGGCTCAGCTCAACCTTATATCAGGGTATTCCAAACTATTCCTGTGTTGGCCTTGTCTCTCCACTCCCACTGTCTGTGACCTCAAAGAAAGACAGATCACTTAAGTTGTCAGTTTCATCCATGAGGACAAAAACTCATAGGCAATTTGGTTATCAAGTCTCCAGCTCCTATCTCAGGGATGGAAAAGAGAAGTATTGGGTTTCCCGACAAGAATTACCTCCCCTTTTCCATTCCTCTATAGGGGCCACACCCACCTTCCTCACAGTCTCCCACCACACCGGAATCAAGGTACCTACTTCCTTCTGATGAGAGGCCACTTGAGTCCTGAGAAACAAACAATCTGAATAAGATCAAAACACCTAGATTCTCTGTCTTTCCAAGCTGCCTGCTTCACTCCTTTGCCAAAGACCTCATGGCTTAACTGCTCTTGGGGATCTCTTCTGATAATGACTCTTTGTTAGGAAGTTCCTACCCAGCTACCCTGTTATGAGTCTGAACCCATCCTGCCCCTACATTCACCTGCTCTTGGTGCAGTCTCTGAACTTCCTCCAGCTCCTGCTGGCTCTCCTCTTCTAGTTTCTTACGTACAATCTCAGCCCCAGTTAAGGCAGCACGCAGGCCCTCAGCCTCAGCTCGGCCAGCCTTCTCTGCCCGTGCCAAAGCCTCCAGTTCCATGGCCTGGGCCTCCAGCCTCATCTTTTGTTGCAGTGAGGTCTCCCGCAGGACCTGGACTTCATCCTCTAGCTGCCGCAACTCTTGTAGCTGCTGAAAGATCAGCTCAGCCTGCTGGCTCAGGGCATGAGACCCCTGCTGCTCTAGGGACCTTCAAAGACAGGATGGCACAGACAAAAAGGTGTCTCTTGTACTAAGAGGGAGGCCAAGGGCATAAATGGAGACAAGAAGAGGACCCCTCTGTCCTTACATTGGGAGGTGGGAGATGAAGTTGGGGCATGGGAATCTCTATATTCACATCACCATTGTCATTCATTGAGGCTCTACTAAGCACAATAGGTCCACTATCTGGATTCACAGGACCTAATGGCTAGTGAGATCATGGAACATGATTTTTCTGGAGACCTACATACAGGCAGATGTATCAAACATCAAATGCACACATCATGAGGCCACAAGTTCTGAGTAAAGAGGTTAGAAAAACATGTAAGACTTCCGAATTTTGATTTAAGACTAGGAAAAATGAGGGAAGCATGGGCATAGGGGTAAATCTTCCTGGGCTTACAGTATCAATATGGCAAGTCCAGATGCTAGGTATAGGCTTTTACAGAGTGTTTGGCCTACTGTATGAGGAGTCTGAGAGGGCAGAATAATAAATGAGACACTCCCAACCTTTGGAGAACACTTTACTGGTGTCATTTAAATTTAAACCAGTTCATAACATGGCTGAGACAACTCCCTCACTGAGAACCATACTTTACTTTACTTTTTTTTTTTTAAATAAAAGAGATCCTTAGGCTAGGGAAAATAAGTGAGTTGCCAAAAGTCCCCTACCTGGCAGCCATACTAGAAATAGAATCTCTGTCTCCTGATACCAGGCTAGTATTTCCTTGATGTAATCCTCACTCTGGATTGACAGTACATTTGGGAAACGATATATAAAACTGAAAGAGTAAGAATTCTTTCTGGGCACATTAGCACATACCTATATCCCCAACAACTCAAGAGGGTGAGGCAGGAGGATCACAAGTTTGGGGCCAGCCTGGGCAACTAAGAGAGACTCTGTCTCAAAATAAAAACTAAAAAAGAACACACAGTGGCGCATGCTTATAATCCCAGAAACAAGGATTGCAAGTTGGAGTCCAGCCTTGGCAACTTAGCAAGACCCTCAGCAACCTAGTGAGACTATCTCAATAAAAAATAAAATGGACTGGGCATATAGTTCAGTGGTAAAGCGCACCACATTCAATCCCTAATACCACAAAAAGAAAAAAGAATTTTCATAGCACATTCACAGAGAGTGCATGCCAGATCAAATGGAGTGTTCTCCAAAAAGGCTTTCTTCAACTACTTCATCAGAATGAACCCATGCACCACAGCACTGGGTCTACATATCTAGTCTGCACTTCATCTTGTTTTATCTGGTAGTTTCCAAATATTTGCAATCAACCTATCTCCTCCCTTAGAAATTTATATTCTTTATAAGTTGAAGATTTAAGGCAGGCTCTCATTTATTTTTTATCTCTATTCTTGGAGTCTAACACTCCTTATTATATATGTATTGTAGATACCAATAATTGCCTATGTAAAAATGTATATTATTGAACCAAGGGCCAAACAGGGCAAGGAATTTACTTCAGAGAGGAAGGGTCACGAGCAAGCACAAATGAGAAAACAGAAACAATGGATCCCTACCTGCCTCTCCGCCCTGGCCCTTGCCCATTTCCAGAAACACCCTGTTCCCACGTGGTCACTGGAGACCTCTGGATGTCTAGTCGCCTCTCTGAGACATCCTGATGGGCTGGTGGTTGCACCTGGGGAATGTCTGAGACCCACGTGGGAGCCATTCTTGAAAGAGTTGGAAGGGGCTTGGCTTGGAAGTGGGAGGGGGGAATCAGCCCAGTGAAACCTGATGAATCATAAGAGCAAAGATGGTCATTAGTTTCCCAGGAAAAGGCAACCAATGGACCCCTTGCCTGGCCCCACTGACCTGAAGGTGGCAACATCTCCTCGTTGGCTGATGGCTCTACATTCTTTCTCTGGCCATCTTTCTTCCCCTGGACATGGACAACAGGAGAAACAAGGACACTCCAATTTAATTTTCAAGCCACCTTCAAAAGCCAAAAAGTCCCTACAGTAACAAAGTCATAGTCCTTAAATTACAACCAGTTTTAGCAACTCTCAGTTCCTTTTTCCTGGGTCCCAAAAAAGATAGTGGATACCCCAGGTCCATTTGCTTGTCCCATTCTGCCTCTCTATAGAACTGGGCAATAACCAAGATGTGGAGAGAATTTACTGAAATAGGCCAAGTTGAGGTTCTTAGGGCTTTATTCCTACTTTTAAGATTCTGGGCAAGGCCTTTACCTTCTTCCTCTGGGCTGGAGGTGAGAAAGGAGGTACACAATGCAGGGGCCCTGAGCTCAATTTCCAGAGTTCTTTCAGTGATTCAGCAAGGCCTTGGGGAAGACCATCAAGGCACCACAAAGCCATGACTTCTGATTCCTTCACTATTAAAGTGCTGACCCAAGGCCTGGCCCCACAAGAATGTGGCACATACAGTGAGTCGCCACTCACTCCCAGGACCCCTGGGAATGCAGGCAGCCTAGAGCAGGTGGCAGAAAAGCCAGCTTCCTGATATCTCATCCAAACCTCTCTTACTCTCAGTTTCTCTCTACTATCCCCTCAGTTTCAAGTCCTGTTGCCCTTCCCTCGAGGCCCACAGCCCACAGAGTGAACTCTTCTAAGACTTTCCCTGACCCTCCCACCCGATTTCATCCACTGTTTATCTAACCTGGGATGCCTACCCACGACCCCTCTTACATCCTATCTGCTTTTTTCCTGAAGGGATTATTGTGGTCCCTCACTTTCACCCTCATCTCCCAGATTATTATGCTTTGTTCTTTTTACTCTCTCCCAAATACCCTGGTCTCTTCATCCTGCGAGCCTCTAAAGCTGTTTTTACCACCTCATCTTTTCCTTTACCCCGGCCCCTGTGACCTTCTTCCCCTGTGAACCCCGTGAACCCATCCCAGAACCCCTTTAGCCCTCCCCACCCCCAACCGACTCTTCTCGAACGCCCCTTACCGAGCTCGAGAGCCCCCTCAGCCCTTTGGCCACACCCCCTACACCTCGCTCGGGGCCTGGCCTCCTTCTCTCAGCGTGCATGCGCAAGGCGGGTGTGTTAGCGGGTCTCCCCAGTCCAGTTTCGCTCTGGAAGGAGGCGGGGGGGGGGGGAGGAGGTGCACGCATGCGCAGTGGCATCTAAGGCTACGCCCAATCAACTCATCGGGGCAACTCCGCGCCCTGTCGGCTCCTCCCCACTCCGGGAACCCGGGAAAACTCCTAAACTAATCAAAAAAGGCGGAAGGCGGGAGATTGGGGACCCACCCCGAAGGCCGCCCAATAGAGAGGATGAGGGCAAATAAGAGGGCCAATCAGGAAGGGCACGGGGGGCGGGCACGCTCGGCGCGAAGTCAACCCGGGAATTCCGAAGGAGGGGTCGACTCTGCCCGCGCGCAGAGGCTGCGCCCCTCCCTGCCTCAGCTTCCTGGCTGTCAAACTGCTGCGAGAGCGGGAGCTGGAGCACTGGCCTTTTTGAGAAGGATATTGCCTGGAGCACAGACCATTCCGAGACTGCACTACGCGGGTAGATCTGAAACTGGGCTGGTGCCGGGACGTAAAAGGCCGTTTTGCCTTGCGGAATTTCAAGGAACTTCTTCCCGTTTGATCCCATCCAGAGAAGCCGGGACGTAAGGAGTTCGATCCATTTTGTTGAATCATTTAGGGGCCCTTTTGCACTGTCCTTTAGAGTGACAGTGAATTCACTTGGGTTGGAGCTGAGCGAGGAATTGGCCAGAAGAGCGGGGCGCGGTCGAATGGGAGGGGTGCTCTTATCTGGAGAAGCAAGTCTGACAGCAAGCTTCTCTTCTCCCGATTATACTGTGATACGTTCGTATCGCATTTTCATGTTTGTATAACAGGATCGCTCCCCCCGCCCCCCACCACACACCGTACACCTCAGTTTGCATTTTCCCAGAAGCTGCCTAACATACGATTCGTTGCCTTGCACAGATTGGAGGCTCCCCGGATGTTTGATGGCCTAAGGATCCAGCTTAACTGAGGTGTCATAGGACGTGTTCCTGTTTTTGTATTGGGCCAGCACCCTCCCGGAATTCTTTAGTTGCAAATTTGCTTTGTAATCAACTTTATACTGCATTCAGTCTACTTGAGCTCTGAATTTTCACTACTCGACCTGTGTACTCAAGGTTGAAATTACACACAACCCAACTCACTTTTCAAACTGAAAAGTTAACTATTAAGCTAGAGGTGCATGTCTGAGGTGTGGAAGAGGTGATGGATTCCTGAGAAATAAGGTGGTGTGGAGGGGGCACCGCCCATGCTACCCTGCTTCCAACTACTACGCATAGGGGGTGGCAGGGGCGGTGATCTCTACACCTTCCATCCCCCCACTGGGGCTGGCTGCACCTATCGCTTGGGCTGCAGGGCCGACCTATGTGATGTGGCCCTGCGGCCCCAGCAGGAACCTGGTCTCATCTCTGGAATCCACGCAGAGCTGCATGCTGAGCGCCGGGGTGATGACTGGAGGGTTAGTGTGGAAGACCACAGCAGCCAAGGTAAGCCTTGAGAGGGGTAGTTTTTCCCCAAGGCAGTTCCAGGTTGGAATAAGCGGATAGAAGATCTTCTGGGAACCTGTCATCTGCCTCCCCAAATCACTATCAAGTTGGACAGTCAGTCTAGTTCTTGAATTTCCATCAGAAGCATGCACTGTCAACTCTGTAGAACTTAAATGCTCTATTTAGGGCTTGGTGGATCAAGGGCACAGGTCATCATCTGGGTAGTGTCACAGTGGGCAAGTTTTGGGGCCAAGCTCAGGATTGACTGTTTTCATCTTTGCTGAGGTATCTTGTTCCTGTTAGATGACTCATAATGATGATCTGCACATGTGTCTTTCCTTCCTACTAAAGGCAGCCACGGAAGGCTAGGGCTCAGTTGTGTTCTGCCACTGGCTCCTGGTAAAACCCTGATCAGGCCTGTCACTCCACTTCCCCAGGTCTTAGTTTCCTTTACATAACATAAAGTTTGGTAAAGTCAATGCTGGGGGTGCTGTAAACATTAGACTATAGTAGCCAACATTCATTTAGTCACCAGCTAGATATTTCTAAAGCGCATTCAATGTGGAAGACACTAACACCCTCAATTAACAGCTGAGGAAAATTAGGCACAAAGGTTAATAAACAGCTGATAAATGGCAGAGCCAGAATCTGAACCAGTCTGAGGCTATCCTAAGTAAGCATGAGAGTTGGACCTAAGCACTTTGGGAGGAGCTTCCAGCTATGGAGATCACAGGTGGTGTTATTTGCCAAGGGGTTTAGAATGTGAGGGAGAATTTGATTCTCTTTCCTGTGTCCCCTGAAAAAAAATCAAACAGGTCCTTTTTTCTCTACTCCTGATTGGTCATTTCTGTTCTTGTCATTGTTTCATGCCCCACCATCAACAGGGACTTTGGTCAATAATGTCCGACTCCCAAGGGGCCACAGATTGGAGTTGAGTGATGGTGACCTCCTGACCTTTGGCCCTGAAAGGCCTCCTGGAACCAGCCCCTCGGAGTTCTACTTCATGTTCCAACAAGTCCGGGTCAAACCTCAGGACTTTGCTGCCATTACAATCCCACGGTCTAGGGGAGAAGCCAGGGCTGGTTTCCTGCCCATGCTGCCCTCCCAGGGGGCCCCACAGCGGCCCCTCAGCACCCTCTCCCCTGCTCCTAAGGCTACACTGATCCTCAACTCCATCGGAAGCCTCAGCAAGATCCAGCCCCAGCCTCTCACCTTCTCCCGGAGTGGGGGTGGGCCACAGAGCCTGCCTGTTCCCACTCCAGCTGGGGAAGTGGGTACCACGCCTGCCCCACCCCCAAGAAATCGGAGAAAATCAGCTCACAGAGTGTTGGCAGAATTGGACGATGAGAGTGAGGCTCCTGAGAGCCCCCAACCAGTCCTCACAGAGCCCAGGAAGAAACTCCGTGTAGAGAAAACCCCACTGACACCCAGTGGGTAAGTGGCACACTCAGTGTCAGCCTACTCTCAGTATTTCACTGCCTTTGATTCCTTTTTAAGAGTCTCAGGCTGTGGAACCCCACTGCTTAGGAGGTGAACAGATAGAATTGATCTTAGAATGGCAGGAGCTGGGTTAACTCTGACATACATACATATATATACAGGAGGAAGCAAGTTGGTATTGCGGCATTGGTTAAAATAGGAGTGTAGGAAAAAATAAATAAAACTTGGCAAAGGATGGTAGTGCACACCTGAAATCCCAGTTACTTGGGAGACTGAGACATGAGGATCAAATTTCAGAACAGCCTGGGCAATTTGACAAGAGCCAGTCTCAAAGAAGAATCCTGGTCCGCTTAGTGTTAGCGTTTTCCTAGTGTGTAGGAGGTCCTGGGCACTACCCCCAGCACAGTAAATAAAGTTATGAACTCCTTGTCTACTGACATCCTGTTGTTTGGGGTTAAATTTGGGGCCTCAGGCATGCTAGCTAGGCATGCACTCTGCTACTAATCTATACCCCAATCCTAAATCGTTTTTATTCATTTATTTTTGGTGCTAGGGACTGAACCAAGGGGTACTCTTACCATCAAGCCACATCCCCAGCCCTCTATTTTGATACAGGGTTTCATTAAGTTGCCCAGGCTGACCTGGATCCTCCTGCCTCCGCCTCCTGAGTAACTGGGACTACAGGTGTGCACCACCATAGCAGAAAGTCCCTTTTTACATTGAGGACTTGCACCTTTCTCCTAGTGCTTAAAGACAGGGAATTAAATTTCCAAGGCTCACATTATCTACTGAGTCTTTCTAGATCCACCCTATGTTATCCAGGGCCAAGGTCTAGGTTTTTCCTACAGGTTTTCAATGACCCTGGTATTTGTTGCTTCCTTTAGAAATCGACGTGGCCGTCCTCGGAAGCACCCAGTGAGCACCCCCATGACTCACCCTGTAATTGGGGATGGGGAACCTTGTGCAGCCCCTTGTTGCAGCCTGCCCCAAGAAGAGACAGTGGCCTGGGTTCAGTGTGATGGTTGTGACATCTGGTACCATGTGGCTTGTGTTGGCTGCAGCATCCAGGCTGCCAGGGAGGCAGATTTCCGATGCCCAGGGTGTTGTGTTGGGATCCAAACCTAACATCCACCACCAAGGCACTAGAGGACAGAACTGACACCTCCTATCCAGGATTGAACACAGTAGTGTGCAAATGGATCCTAAGAAATGCTTCCCTTCTTTCCTTCCCTCCACAGGAGGGAATGACCACAAGGAGAGGTCCATTGCTATGGACACTGATTCAGGGCCTGAAGCAGGCCCTCATGGCCAAGGTGGTTTCCTGCCAAAGAAAGTGCTGCCTCTCCAGAAGTTGTCAGTGAGCTGGAAATTCCCACTGTTACAAGCTGTAAGGCCTTGTTGTCATGGACACCAGAATATATCATCCAGCACATATCATCTGCAGAAGCTATGCCTGGGAAGAAACAAGAGGGAGTTGCTAATGTCCTTGAATGGCATCTACCTAATACACTCTAGGAAAATCAAGGGCACAGTCCTGCCTGCCCCCAACTTCCTTATACTGCTTAGTCCTCTCCCTGACCGTATCTCTGATCTGGCTTTTCAGAGCTTTGCTTTTATTTCCAAATAAAAACCAAGCAGCTTCATTCACTCTTTGCTCTTCTTATGGCTCTGATATTGTTTTCCAACTTTGGGAAGAATAGACTTGATAAGGTCTTGGAGAAATAATCCAGTTTCTTAAGGGAAGGAGGGAAGAGAAATACAAACCATACAAACCTGTTCATTGGAAAGGCTTGAATATGTGGGATAAGCTAGAGATACGAATCAGGGGAAAAAGAGGAATGGAAATTACAGGGAAAATATCTACTTCCATTAAAATAAGATAGTTGAGATTTAATTCACAAGGATGAATTTTATAGGCTTCACCAGGAAAAAAGAAAAGCTGGTGAACCAGCTATAGCAGAAGCTGATCTGGTCCAGTGTGGATTAACCTCTTAACCCATGTACATATCATACATGTGATGGTGTAAAATGGGCCTTGCACCAAGCCAAGATACTGCTGGAGTCTACAGCCACCCTGAACACTACCGATCTGGTCTGATATTGCTGAGTGTTGCATCCTTTCTATAATTTGTATGAGAAAAGCTGTATTTTGACCTATTCTATTGCAACCTGTATGTCCATCCTCTTTCTTCTGAGACTCACCAAACCCACATTTTGCCCACATTAAGGAAACCATTCCAAAGTCCCCTAATTAACTAGTCGCAGAACCAGGAATAAGAAGGTATATAGCAAGTTACTTAGGAATAGTATGTAAGTGGAACTCAAATGGACTCTGGTAACAAGAAAATACAGTGGGCTAGGGTTGTGGCTCAGTGGTAGTGTGCTTGCCTAGCATGTGTGAGGCACTGGGTTTGATTCTCAGCACCACATACAAGCAAATAAATAAATAAAGGTCCATCAATAACTAATAAAAATATTTTAGAAAAAGAAAATACAAGGGGGCTGGGCACAGTAGCTCATGCCTATAATCCCAGCAGCTCAGGAGAATGAGACAGGAGGATTGGCTAGTTCAAAGCTAGCCTCAGCAAAAAAGCAAGTCGCTAAGCAACTCAGGGGGAGTTTTTAATTGGGGTGACATGCAGTGGAAGTTGTATTGGGAGACTTGATTTCTTAGTATACAGCCACTGAGGATTTCCAGAGTAGCACAGGTAAAATCAGCTCCTAATAGGTAACAGGGAACATGGTAACTACATCTGTGGGTATTCAATTTAAATACTCGAAGACCCCAAGGACTAGCTTAAGCTTCTAAGATCCTCTACAAAAAAACAGGGGTTCCAATTTCAACTCTCTTAGGCAGTGAGAAGTTAGTTTATTCTAGAGATTGAATCCAGGGGCACTTCACCATTAAGCCAGTCCATTTTTATTTTGAGACAGGGTGTTGCTAAATTGCTGAGACTAGCCTCAAACTTGTGAGCCCCCTGCCTCAGCCTCCCAAGTTGCTGGAAAGACCTTGAATAGTTGAAATGGCACGTCAGTTTCAGGGTCACAGGTATGACAGCAGTTAGTATCTAACACCAGATTTCTCTAGTGCCCTTCAATAATTAAAAGAGGATAAACCAAAGACAAATTTATCTATCTACTGTGTCCCAGGCTTCTTTATTATTTAAGAACAAAGTATGAGTGATGTGGGGATTAAAATCAAGAGCATCATTGAACTTCACCTTCCCTCCAACCAGTTCCCTAACTCCTCACCCCACCCTTTGTGCTTCCAATTCCTTCCTTAGTGAATGAAGAACTTAATCCCAAAAGCCCTGGTCCGGACTCCAGGTTCTCTCCCTAGCTCCTCTTTCCTCTGCCCCCGTACCTGGGAAAGGCAGGTACCTCAGTTTGAATGCATGGGAGAGCCCAGAGTGGTGACAGAGACAGAGGGAAAGGCTTCCCCCTCAGGAAAAGGAACCGGGGAATAGAGTGTGGTGAAGTGAGGGCTTCCATAACCTGAGGTACCAAAATGGGGCCCTGGGGCCAGAGGAAAGGATACAGGTCCCCCTGAGAAAGGAGAAGCTGCAGCCTCAAAATCCTCTCGTTGGGAATAATCAATGCTTGATCGTTTGCCCTTCTGGCGCCGGTTACAGAACCACACTCGGACCACCTGGGAGTGGATGACACAGGAGAGTGACATTAGACTATAAGCTCCTGGAGTTGGGTCTGGCTTTGCTTGATCATTTCACCCAAAGCCCAAGTGGCAGGAGGAGGAGCTAGAGCTAGAGAAAAGGGAGTGGCAACTGGGGAGGCAGAGAGATGGCGTGGACAGGGACAGGTGCACTCACGTCCTTCTCAAGCCCTAGCTGTTCAGCAATGTGGCTGATCTGCTGCAGGGTGGGTTTTGGGCACTGCAGGAACATGTTCTCCAGGTTGCCTCTCACTCGGTTCTCGATACTTGTTCGCTTTCTCTTCCGGGCTTGCAGTAGGGTCTCCGCTTTGCATATCTAGGCAGGTAGGGAAGGGGTGACAAGGTCAGGCTTTGAACCTTCTGAACAACAGCACCACATTGAGGGGTCAGTGACATGAAAGCACATTGCTAAGGAGACAGTGACTGGATTGGTCCCCAGAGCTAGAGGGTATGAAAAATGAGGAAATTGGAAGGGAGGGTTTAGATCACCTAACAGAATGAAAGGATTATACTCCATCCCATTGAGAAGTGCTGCCCTGGGCTGGGGAAGGAATTGTAGCTCAATGGTAGAATGTGAGGGCCAGGCTCTGGATTCAATCCCTAGCAGACAAAGAAAGGGAGAGAGAGAGACTGCTGCCCCCAAGTGGTAGAGCAAGAGCTGCAGGCCAGGGAGGGAAGCAATGGAGACTGGGCTGACTCAACAGGTCCCAGTGCATCCTTCCCACTCTCACCTCCTGAAGGTTCTCATTGTTGTCTGCTTCCTCCACCCACTTCTGCAGCAGGGGCCGCAGCTTGCACATGTTCTTGAAACTGAGCTGCAGAGCCTCAAAGCGGCAGATGGTCGTTTGGCTGAACACCTTCCCTGGGAGAGGCCAATTGAAAAAGAAGCACATTAGGCAGGGTCCCTGGTAACCTCAAGACCCAGGTGGTCCTCACAAGCTCCCAAACCAGAGTCCAGCTTCTTCCCAGAGGCAGCTCAAGACCAAGTGTCTTCTCCCTCCCTCCCCCATACCCCCCGGAGAGGAGTGGGGATAGGAACTGCCCTGACACCCTGCCCACACTTTCTTGGTGGAGAAGACCTAAAATTAGGGGAGATGCGGTCCCTGTGGATCAGAACATGCCGAGGGGGACCCACCAAAGAGAACCCCCAGGGTAAGCCCCACATCGGCCTGAGTATATCCCAGATTGATCCTCTTCTGCTTCAGCAGCTTGGCAAATTCCTCAAGTTCTTTCTGCAAAGCTTGGATATCTTGGGACTGCATAAAAAATGGCAGAGGACTTATAAGAACATAGACACACTCTAAACAAACAAACAAACAAACAAACAAAAACCCAAAAACCACACAGGGTTTTTGAATCTGACTGAGGCCCCAAGGAATGGTCTGTGAAGTATCTCAGCCTCCCAAGACACCCACATAACCTCTAGAAATAGCTCATTTATAAATGTCTAGTTCACCCATTTACTGCTCTTCCCCCAGAAACTGGCACATCTAATAGATATTAAACACCACGCAAGGGACGAAAAGACGGGCCTAGGCTCCATGAGAATACCTGACAGATTATGTAATGACTCCTGTCTGCTAACTCTGGCCTTAGAATGGACTCTGACTCACAAATCACTCTCTCCCACCCCCATTTGAGAATAGAGAAATAGAGGATGATATCTGTCTGAATCTAAGTTCAATACAGCCCCAGGGCCCCAAACTAGGACATGACATGCAGACACAAACATACTACAGTAATTAGCCAGGTACAGTGGCACATGCCTGTAATGCCAGCAACTCAGGAGGCTGGGGGCAGGAGGATCCCAAGTTCAAGGCTAAGCCTGAGCAACTTGGCAAGCTCCTGTCTCAAAATAAAAAAGGGCTAGGGATATAGCTTAGTAGAGTGCCCTTGGTTCAATATCCAGTACTATAAAAATAAAAAGTCTTGGGGAATCATTATGTACAACTATAATGCACCAATAAAAAGTGTGTAAAGATTTTTTTAAAAACACACAAAAAAAGACCTGAGGATGTAGCTCAGCTGTAAACCAACCCCCTCCCCACACCGGATTTAAACACCAGTTCCACAGCACTGCAAATAAACAAAAAAAAAACATGAATAGTATTTTCTATATACTTGATTATCAATCTTAAAGGCTCATTTATGCTTAATTTTTAACTATCTTTTTTGTAATATATAAGCACTCTCACTGGTAAATCAACAGATTTATTGAGTACCTTCTATAAACCAGTAGTTACACAAAGTAGACAAAAAGTCTTTTGACTTTATAAAGTTTACATTCCAATGTGGCAAAATAAATTACTATCCTACATAGAAGTGCCAAGGAAATAAATCAAGTAGGGGTAGGGTACAGGAATGGAGTACAGCAGGATAGGAAATTATCTTTTTTTTTTTTTTTTGGTGATGCTGGAGATTGAATCCAGAACATTCTGAATACTGGGCAAGGTTTCTACCACTGAGCCTTATTTTAAATTGTCATCCCCCAGCCCTGGAGGATGACAATTTAAAATAAGAATTCAAAGAAAGTGATATTTGATGAGTTCAGAGGAAGAAGAGCTGGACAGATCTTGCAGATGCAATAGCAACTTCGATTTACCAAGTGAAATGATCCAACTCTTCTTGGGTATTTTAAAACACTGACTCAAACTGATAGGTTGTCCAGAGACTATGAGGAAGCAAAGGTTTAACTAGGAAGGCTTTTGCTGTGGTCCCAGACATTAGTGGCTGGAACCAGAGAAGTAGGACATGTTAGACGCAGGATGAACTTCGAAGGTAAAGATAACATTGTTTCCTAAGTTGTAGGATGGGAAAGGAGCAAAAACAGCTGGTTCTGGCCATAAGCAACTGATGAGGTGGGGCGGTGGGGGCCAACAAAGAAGACAAAAAAATGCAGTTGTCACTTGATGTCTAAATGGCACGTGAGCCTTGAGGGTGGGTAAGAGGAAGGAAGGGTAGATAGAACAGAAGTTGAGGTTTAAGGACTGAGCCCTGGGGCACTCCAGTGTAGGAGCAAAGCAGAAGCAGCTAGTAAAAACCTACATAGCCTTTGCAGTCCGGGAATGCTTAAGGAAAGTATTTCAATGGTGACTGTATCAGATTCAAACAGACAAACTTTCAATCCCAGTTTCTGCTCAGCCAGTGTCTTCTTAGCTTTTCCAAATCCTATTTTTGCCTCATGTTAACAGTTGGGACACGTGAAATAAGCTAATAATGCCTCCCTAGGAATTTCTGTGATAGCTAATGAGATAATGATGTATAAACTGAGCACACAGCCAGGTATTTAGGCAGTGGACCCCAATTGCCAGCCATTATTATTCAACAATCACCTCCTGTAAAGAGACTGGGGCTACTCTCTCACACCTGAATTCACTTACACCTACTCTGAGGGCGAAGGCTTTGTACTAGATCTCTCTAATAGCTTACACTTTTTGCTTTGGAGGACTGGAAGATGCTTAGTCCCCAGGGGGGCTGGAGGCCTTCTTCTCCCTCAGCAAACTCTGCGCACTTTACAAAAAGGCCTGTAGGAAACTTCTCCCACGATTTTCTTCTTCTTTATAACTTACGGAAGTGAGGCTGAAATTGATCAAATTAGCACTTCCAGCTCCCTTCAAGGGGACACCAAGGTGTGTGTTTAATATCATGGTGACTCACAGGCAGGAGGCAGAGGTCAAAGACCTACAGGCCCTAAATTTGACTGGAGGTAAACCATACTCCACAAGTCTACACAAGGCCCAAACAGGACCTCCTATCAGAAACTAGGCACACCCTACCCTTTCAAGAACAATAACTCTGGGATAAGCACTGTTTTTACCTTCAGGCCACGCTCAACCTTAAGGCCAAGATCCTAGATTTGATAAGGATCAAGTTTTCCAAAAGGGCTAAGGGCGGGAGAGTCCAAACCTACCCCAGGCCCAAGCCGGTGCTAGCCTGGTATTGAGCGAGTGAACTGACCCTGGGCAGATAAGGGCCAGAGTTGAAGAAAGGACCAGTCTTGTTCAGCTGCAGATTCCTCCCGGTAATTTCAACTTCTAGTTTTCATCTTGTCTCTCAGGAGTGCCTGCAATCACCACACCCCCCTCCATGCCTAGGGTAGACAATCCTGCCTGCACCCCTCAGGTTCCAGGCCTGGGCAGCTGCAGGTGACCACTTCCCCCTCATCTCTGCCCTTGCCAGCCCAGCCAGTTCCCCATGGCATCTCACTCACCTCCTCAGGGTTTTGATCCACCTTCTCCTTCTCCACTTTCACAACAGCAGGGTGAGCAATGCAGGGCTCGGGGGAGGCCCCCTCAGAGTTGCTCTCCATCCCAGCTCCCACCTCAACCTCAGGCTGAGGGGTCTCCAGGCCACCGTGGGGAATCAGGCCCTTTCCAACCTGAGGTCCACAGTATGCCATCCCTCCACAGAAGTCGTGGGGCGGAGGGTATGAGGGAATCCCCCACACCTCCGAACCTGGCCCAACTCCTGGCCCGATTCCTGGACCACCGGGAGGGCCTGGGAAGCTTAGCCAGGTCCGATGGTCAATCCAGCCCGGCTCTGGCCCTCCTGGCCCATCACCCCCACCGCCCGGAGGGGGCGAGAAGGCAAAGTCCGAAGCCAGATGTCCGGCCATGGGTTAAAAGGGCACCCCAAACCGGGGCCCTGAAAAAATAAGGGCTCACCAAGGAACAGCTCAACACCTCTCTCCCTCCCCAATCCCACCCACTAGCCTTGACCTCTGGCCCCGCCCCCTGGATGGGTGGAGGAGAGAGTGGTGGGGGGTGGGAGAAACTGAGGCGAAGAATGTTTGCCTTTTGGTAGAGGTGCTGTCAGTGGTAGGAGAAATCAGGGGGTATCCAACTGGGCACCCCTCTAAGACCCCCTGGGGCCTTCCCCTTCAACTCCCAAGTAGCTGCCCGGCCCTCTCAGGCCCGGTACATCTCAGAGATGTCTGGGATCCCCTCTTTGTATTCTTCGTGAGCCAGGTGCTTGACCTCCTCTCCAAAGACCCTCCACATTGCCCTCTCATTGGGGTTCACCCAGCCACACTCTCAGCTCTTTAAGCACTTATTGAACACGAATGTGCCAAGCACTTTTAGGGGCTACCCTTGATTCATTAACAACCACAAACACAAACACACTGGCCAGCTGCCCTCCTCTAGCTCCCCTACCCCCATCCAGAAACCTAGTCCTTCCTCTGCAGATACTGGCCAAATCCAGTTATCCTGCAGTCTCAGATGCCTGCCACCAATCTACCCAGCCTGCCACATATTCCACAAAGCCTCTATTCCATACCCTGGTCCTGTGGCTCCAGAGTCCCCTCACCTAACAGGTTCACTGATTATTTTCGCCCCAAACACACACTTCCCCTTATAGGGACCAGGCTCTGGATTGACTGAGCCTGTTTTCCAACCCAGGTCCAGACGGAGGGAACTGACAACTAAAAGACCTGAACATCAGGCCCCCATTCCTCCTGGCCAGAGACTCAGACATTTAATACAGCAGCAGGCCCAATTCCCCCTCCCCCACTTCCCCATCCAGGCCTCCAATCCTAGTTCCTGGGTGGAGAAAACCAAAGGGGTGGGGGGTATGTGGAGAAAAAAAATATCTGACTTCAGGTTCAAAGAGGCCTGGGAGGCACTGGGGGAAGGGGCAGGACAATGGCCTTGGCTGTACAATCCCAGTCCCCAGAGGGGGCAGCTCTAACCCTAAACAAGTGCTCAACCATTGAATGGACCAGGATGGCTCCCCTGGGGACAACTTCCTGCTCCCCAACCCCCCCAGCTCCAATCCCTCACACACAATCCCCCTCTGAGCGCCCCAGCAAACCGCCCCCCACTATCCCCTCAAAGACTGAGCCTCAGACAGGCAACAGGAGCCTCCTGCCAGGACCCAGGATTCTGTACCCTCTTCCTCTGGAGACTAGGTATCCAGCCTCGGCACCCACCCATCCCCCAGCCCCCCAGGTCACGGGATGTGCTTTGTTTAGGGGGACTGGCAGGCAGCGGAAAGACACTGAGAAGATAGTGATTTGGAGGAGGGGTGCAGGAAACCTTCCCTAAGCTGTCCTCAGTCTATTTTTCTGGGCCTATCTGAGCATCTTTGAGGGCTCATGCTGCTGGCCTAGTGCTCCATTCGGTTTGCAAGAGAATAGCCATTGGAATGCCTGTCTGCATGGGATAATATTTGTCTGTCTACTCCTAAAACTTATCCTAAATGAAGAAAGGCCCCAGAATAAATCAGTGAGATCCAGAAAGGCTCTGGACCAGAGTTCCCCAAAGCTTGAAAGGCCAGAATTTTGAGTGTGGGACCTCTACCAACTCCAGGCCTAGCCCAATTTGGTTTTATTTGCTAGGGTCAGTGGCTCTGTCTGCCTTCTGGGAGACTGTCCCTTGGGAGCCCCCTGACTGTAGTCAGCTATCTTTATCTCTGAGGTATCTATGAGTCTTTTGAATTTGTTTCGTATTCTTCCCTCTGAGTCTGTTATATTGCCCCTGCTTATGTGCCCATATCTCCCTTCCATGTATACTTTTTGGGTGTCTAACCATAGGCATGAATATCAATGCTTCCCATACGGCAGTTTGAAGATCTACAAGGCTGTGGAGCTGGAGCCATGTTCACATCTCAGCCATTAACTTCCCCAAAGGCAGTTGATTAAGGGGCCTGGCGGGGGTGAAGAGATGAGTTTTGAAACTGGAGGAGCCCCTCCCCTGCCATCTCCTCAGCCCCCAGGACCGAGCCATCAGGGCACCTTTGTCATGCATTTTTCTGCTGTCTGCCTGGAAGACAGCCTCCTGGAGGAGGGGGAGGGGCAGGCTGAAATCCCTACACCAGAGCTTGCCCTTCTCTTAACTCCTAGAAACTGACACTTGCTGCCTCTGCTTTCCAGGTGCCCTCTGCCCCAACTTCCTCATTTAATACCACCCTTGTTTTTTGGATTATAATTTGTGGTTGTTCTAGGCAGTGTTTCTGGCTAGGGCAAGAGGCCCTGGCTGCCTTGTGACTGGATATGTGAAGCAGGTCAGCCCATGCTTGCTGGAGTCTGACCTGGAATTTGGGAACTGGGCTGACAAAACTCTTCACATAAATCTTTTAGCACACTGTCAAGGACCTTTGGCTGGAGACCCAGAGACAGTAGGTGAGTTCCACCACACCTCATGTGGCACACTGGCATGGCTGTAAAATTATGAGGGTATGATGGGTGGCTTTGCTACCGAGAAACCAGCCACCCTCCCTGCGGTTAAGGGCTGTGGTTTGACTGGAAAACCAGTTGAAATGACTCAGAGGGGGCTAATCGAACCAGAGCTAGGAAACTGCTAATTTTGACTTCTGGGTTCTGTCAATCTGAAGGCAAAAAAGGGGAAGACATAGGAGTTGAGAAGAGAAGTTTCAGGCCTGGCCTACCTTGGAGATGATCTCCCTTAATCTCAATTTACATAGCTTCCGCTGCTCACTGCAGACCAAGGCATGACTTCTCAGCAACAGGCTCCCCCTGGGACCTGCAAACTAAGCTCTTTTCCCAAATCCAGATACTGTGACCTAAATGGAGGAGTCAGCCCTCTGGTTTTAGTCTGCAGGGAGTGAGGAGGTGGGGAAGCTGAGAGGAACAGTTAGGGGTACACTAACAGGCCATAGACCAGGGTTCTAGGCTTCCCGGTCTGGCTCTGGCTTCCCAGTTAATGACACTTCCTTTTCTGTGCCTCAGTTTCCTCGCTGAATTTAGAGGACTTGGAATAAAATGAACTCTAAACTTCCTTCTACTCAGAAAATGCTGCTCCACTCCTATACACCCTCCTATCTTCCCTTTTCACTTAGATGACTCATAATATAGATTTCTCTCTGTGTACCTGTAAAAATAAATGGTCTTGGAGAGGTGAGAGAGGGGGAACCAGCTGGTACAGGCCTTCCCCACCCCTTACCTACCACTTCCAGATTGAAAAATCTGACAGGTTTTCCCCTCAAGGTTGATTAAACTTCATAAGGAGTTTGTGAATCCAATTTGGATTTGGTTCTCAGTGCTCAGGTGTCAATAAGAAACACATTCCATCCGGGCTTGGTGATGCATGTCTCAGCAACTCGAGAGGCTGAGGCAGGAAGATCACAGATTCAAAGCCAGCCTCAGCAAATTAGCAAGGATGTAAGCAACCTAGTGAGACCCTCTCTCAAAATAAAAAATAAAAAGGCTGTGGCTGTGGCTCAGTGGTTAAGTGCTCCTGAATTCAAACCCTTGTACTAAAAAAAGAAAGAAAAATACATTCCAGGAGGTAAAACTCCTCATGGATAAATGAAGGGTGAGAGTGAAGGAAGAATAGAGGGAAGGAGAAGAGGACATGGATGGAGAGAAAAAATAGAGACAGGGATGTCCAATAATCCCTAAAGTAGCTTCCATCTTTAGTACTGTGAGCATCTCTGCTGACCTGCCCTTTCTCAGAGGAAGGTAGCTGCGGCTCCAAGTGACCTCTACACAAGCCAGAAACACACAGACATCCAGGCGAGGGGTTGCTTAGTTTGGGGAACCTGTTTGAGGCAAGAAAGCACATGGTAGGCAGGCACTGTGGAGCACACCTATAATCCCAGCATCTCCGGAGGCTCAGACAAGAGGATTACAAGTTCAAAGCCAGCCTCAGCAAGGGCAAGGTGCTAAGCAACTCAGTAAGACTGTCTCTAAATAAAATACAAAATAGGGCTGTGGTAGCTGAAGTTGTAGCTCAGTAATAAAGTGCTTGTCTAGCATGTGTGAGGCACTGGGTTCAATTCTCAACACTGCATATAAATACATAAAAGAAAGGCCCATCAATAACTAAAAAAAAAAGGGCTAGGGATGTGGCTCAGTGGTCAAGTGCCTCTGAGTTCAATCCCTGGTATCCCTCCCCCCCCCAAAAAAAAAAGAAGAACAAGAACGTAGTGATCAACAGACCAGCAGGACTCCCCAACCTTTTCCTAGCCACACTGGTCATTCTCCACTAGACAGGAGAGTCTCTGCTCATGTCCAGGGGTACCTTAGGACCTGAAGGTGCTACTCAGTGGTAGAGCACTTATGTAGCATGGACAAGGCCTTGAGTTCTATGCCTAGCATCACAAAAAAAAAAAAAAAAAGGGGGGGGTGTTGTTGGGGGATCACAGTGAACAGCTATCTCTGAGCAGAGTCATTCCCCATGGATACTGAAGGCTTAAGAACCCAGGGACTCTGGAGTCAAGGCAGCCCATGACTTAATTAAGTTGGATGGACTATTAGAGGATGAAAGCCAGTGGCCCACAGGTTAGGATGGGAACACTTCCATGGACTTTATAGGAAGCCACATGCATGTCCCAGGTGCAGATGGGACTAAAAGGCTAGTGAGAGAGGAAGGAGTGATGGCAAAGGAGACCTTAAGACCTTCTAGACAAAGAGAAACTGGCCCCATTTCTACTGCATTCCAAGGTCACTATAGGTAGATACCCTGCCCTGAGTCAGACCTTGAACATCCGGTGGAGAAAAAGCTGACCCGGTGTGTGAGAGAAGCAGAGCACATGGCCAGGTGGCTCATTGAGGGAACTGTGCTCACATTAAGACACAGCCAATCAAATGGAGTTTCTGAGACTCCCCAGACCTCCTCATAATGCCATCAGCTTCTCCACCTTCCCTTCTACTGGTCAATCAGTCCCCACCTGTCACATGTATTATAGATCACGGCCCCAGCCCAGCTGCCAAGTGT